AATCAACTAGTCAACTCTGAGCATGCGAACCACTTGAGTAAAGCAATGAATGCCGAAGCAAACGTCCACGTGAGGGAAGTTCATAGGCCTTGCCTATGGGAGATCAGTGACCTCAAGATTTGCTTGAATCGTATAAGAAGGTAGAATCTGCGTATGGCAGGTTTGCCAAAAGACCCCTTCTTAGCTTCAACTGAAAGTCTCGGAGAGTGGTCAAGTCCGCCGATAACATAAGCTGTCCCCATTCACGTGTGACCGCGCAAGTCACGTTACCTGCATTCAGCAGAGACGTCGTCCGAGCGCCTGGGGTGCATGTTCCTGTTTGGCACTCGCTCGCGACATAATCGATCGATAAATCGGTTCGCTACAGGACTCATCATGGTGAGCGTCGGCAAGCTGCTGGAAGAACCGGACGAATGAACGACAAACAGAACGAGACACACGTGATGGAGGATTGGGATAGTGAAAGCGACGGCGAAAAGATGGATGGATGGATGGATGGATGGATTAGCGGACCGGACGGCGAAATGACTGTTGCATGCAGAACCTCTTGCGAAATGGGCTGCAGGAGCGAACGACCGCAACTGCACTGTAGCCGCCGCTCAGATTGGGGGATCGGTATTGTGACTGAGGGAGGGCAATGTGGACAGTGTTGACGGAATCGGGAATGGAAATCCTGAATCAATGACTGACCTATTGGGATAACCTTTCACAGCCGTCCAACAAGAGCTTCAAGGTCAAGCGCATTCTGGGCAAGAAGCAGAAGCAGAACCGCCCCATCCCCAACTGGATCCGTCTCCGAACTGACAACACGATCCGGTATGCCAGAGCTTGCTTGGACGCTTCCTGAAACGATAAACGACTTACCTGCGTCTTTGTTTCCCTCTGTAGATACAACGCCAAGCGTCGTCACTGGCGCAGGACTAAGCTCAACCTTTAGAGGATGTCACCAGCTTGATGTCTTTGGGAGGGAGTCCGGGGTGTACATGGATGATTAAGATCGGGATGGATAAACACAATATATTTCGTGATTAGTCGCCGACATATTACTCTTCGCTTGGATATGAACTTTCGCACATGTTGGAACATGACGCGCGCATCCACTGATGAGTGTCTGAGAGCTCAGGGAGTAACGGCAGCGAACACTGTCCGCTGAGATTTTATCCGAAACGGAAACCAATCCAGAAACCAGCAATGAATCCACCGGTGAATGGAATGTCTGCAGTCAGCCACCGCAGGAGCCTCTTGAAGATTACTACGACTGTGCTGGGCGGGACTTGGCCATTCGCGTCAGTATTCAGCTTCCTGTTGAATGACTTCTGTACGTTGGACCAGGAGATTGTGATGAAACCAGCATGTGCCAGGAACTGCATAATAAAGAACAAACGGCGATTCAGCAGGGATGGACCGAAAAAGGTTTTGCGAAGCATGCCTTGCCCCTACCTGCAAAAGCACAAAACCGCCTCCAATGATGAATGCCACCATTTTGCCAACTTTCTTGGTAAAGAAGCCAGTGAAGGCTCCCAGAGCACCTCCCATGGTCATCAGTTCCGGCCTTAGATGAGCTCTAAACCAGCCTTCCGGTGGTGGAGGGAGTGTCTCGAGAGCTGCGACGTCAATCAAAGGCTCGCTGTTCAGCAGAATGTCTGGCGGTGATCCGGGTGCAGTTTTTTCTGCAAATTTATGGTCGAAAATGAGGATGTGTTTGGCGCTAACGGGTCGTTACTCCTACTCCACGATCCATGTCGGTACCTGGTGCCATCCACACCGCAGCTGAGGCAACAGCCGAGGACCCCGCCAGCGTCGAAAGAATAACGCTGGTCAGTGATCTTCGACCACTTGGCCCACTTCCTCCCTGCGAGCCTGGTCCCTTCTTTTCCGATAGCCTACTAGTCCTTCCACCATTGTTGAATGGCGAGCCAGAAACGGTACTGGCGAGCCGTTGACAGGACCAGACAGGGCGCGGAGTGGATTTCGTCGTGATTGTACCAAAGCATGAGAGTGGAGTCTTCCTGGCCGGAAGGAGAGAGAACCCCGGCTTGAAAGGAGCGCACGATGTGGCGATCGCCCGTGGCAGCCGTTGAAATATTCCTGCGTTCATGGTTTTGATGAGGGGGAGATGATGCAGGAAGCATTGACGCGACGGCCAGCGTTAAGTTGCTTTTGGAAACGCTAGCGGTGGGATTCGAACCTGCGTCAAGACCAGGTCACGTGCCTGGAATGAATTTTTCTGGTTCGTTTTCTCTTCGCATTCGCATAAAAGCGCTGGTGGACCCCGCCCTCCCCTGATTTTTCTTCCCTTCCCACACGGCCATTCAAACGATCTTCCCTCCCACATCGTTTGGTCTTTGCATTCACCACAATGTCTGAGTAAGTATCTGCTTTGTGCTTGCCGTCTCCACACTCCGGCGCCGGCCACAACGAGGAACGAGTCGGTCGCCGCCCCAAATGGCGGGAGCGGCGCCATGTCACACTACCCTTGTCTTTCGTCTCCCAGTATAGCGCAGGTCGGGCCCATCAGCCATCACATCTCGCAACGGGCTGGCCGCCCTCAGTGGTGGCCGCTTGTTCGAGGATTTGGGAGTTAAGCGTCTTTTGGACACTTTCTCCTTAAAAGCATACGACGCTATGTGCAACTGGGAGCTCATGTGTAATACATGGCTCCCTCTGTTGTGACTCGGCTTTGTCCCTGCCTCTTGCCCATCTCGGGAGGAGGCACACATGACTGCTTGTGTGTTGTGCGAAAGCAGGAACACATGACACAACTGGCTAGATCGGTCATTGACCTCGCTTTCTTGTTTTCCGAACGATTAGCGTCAAGAAGCAGTACGTGCCCGAGTCTGTGCTCAAGAAGCGCAAGACCACCGAGAAGGTCGCCGCTGAGCGCGCCGTTGCTGAGGCTGAGCGCAAGCTGGTAAGTGTTTTTTATCTTTGGGGGTTGAGAGTGGGAGCGAGTTTGGAAGATACGCAGAGTGGGTGATGACACAATAACCAACCGACCAACGAATCCTACGGGAGATGTAGTTGTCAAAATACCATCTTTCGGGACTGACACTATGTGTATCGATGTGTGGAAGGGGTCATAAATCAAACTGATGAGATTGATCTTTTGGCTAATCCCATTTACTTTCCCGATCGCAGGCCGCCAAGAACAAGCGCAAGGTCATCTTCAAGCGTGCTGAGCAGTACGTCAAGGAGTACCGCGCTAAGGAGGCCGATGAAGTCCGTCTCAAACGTCAGGCCAAGGCCAACGGCAACTTCTACGTGCCCGCCGAGGCTCCCCTTGCCTTTGTTGTCCGCATCAAGGGGTGAGTAACCAGTCCATTGTTGCATTGTCTGTCGCAGCTTGTGCTGATTTACCATATCTTTTAGTATCATGAAGATTGCCCCCAAGCCCCGCAAGATCATGCAGCTCCTCCGTCTGACCAAGATCAACTCTGGAACCTTTGTGCGTCTCACCAAGGCCACTCTCCAGATGCTCCAGTGGGTTGGTCCCTACGTTGCCTGGGGTTACCCCAACTTGAAGTCTGTGCGTGAGCTCGTCTACAAGCGTGGTTTCGCCAAGGTCAACAAGCAGCGCATGCCCATCACCGACAACTCTGTCGTTGAGAAGGAGCTCGGCTCTTTCGGTATCATTTGCGTGGAGGATCTGATTCACGGTAGGGTTTCTATTTTACGCTCATCACGTCCTCGAATGTGGTTGCTGATAATCATGTTTTTTTGCTTTCAGAAATCATCACCGTCGGCCCTCACTTCAAGCAGGCCAATGCTTTCTTGTGGCCCTTCAACATGTCCAACCCCACCGGTGGTTACAAGGGTAAGAAGGCCACTCACTTCATCGAAGGTGGAGAGTGCGGCAACCGTGAGGACAAGATCAACGCCCTTATCCAGAAGATGCTTTAAATGTTGTACATATTAGCGTCTGATGTTATTGAGTTCTTTTGTGTAAACCTGAGAATCATATGAATTGCGTTGAATTAGTGTCGTGAATTTTTGACGAGGATATATATGCTTCTCTTTCGGGACCCGAGATAGAAGGAAGTTGAAGTCATCATTCCCGCGCGCAACACGCAATGTTCCTCGAAATGCGACCAAGTCGTTGGCAAGAGAATTCGTGCCCGAATTCGGTAGATATTTCACAAAGTCTAGATTGCGGATAGCGCATGGAAGGACGAACGATACGATCGTGAACAGAAGTGTGAAAGGGATTTGGGATTTGGCTTTTTAGCGATTTTAGACTTAATGGACTGATTCTCGGCGCCGTGTTTCTGGAAGACGGATATGAACTGGTCATCTGAAACGCATTGATAGAGTGCCGGCTGTGGAGGCTTTGCTGAAAGCTGGGCATCCGAACCTTTCCTCTCTTCGTTCGAACGAGCGTGTTGCAAGAGCGACCAGCAGGTCTCTTCAAGGAAGACGGTGCGTGGGATGGGTCATCCCTGTCTACCAGCGCGGCGGCCCGAGATGGCCAATCACCTCCCTTTTTGTTCCAAAGGTGGGCAATCTCCACCCAGTTGCGTTGGCTCACGTTGTCGTTTTTCCGCATCAGCCAGGCGAGCAGTCCATCAACAGCTTTATCTTGCACATGTAACCTGGATGGAATAAGGTGGCATTGGGAATGCAATGTCTGAGTTGCTACCGTTCTGGGTTGCTACAGTTTGCTTCGTAGCCGCGTTGTTGCTCATGATGATGGTGATTATGCACGGTGGACGGAAATCAAAGTTCTTGTGTACGGTGCACTCCCTGGTTATTGAGTTAGGTGCAAGGTGAGCGACATACCGTGTCTAGCTTGCAATGGAAAGTTACCATGGGGCAAGTGTAATGCCACGCGAACTCTAAAACTGTCATTTACAAGCCCTGTCGGAGCGGCGGGCTTTTGATTATGTCAGTCAAAATATACAAGCCAGGACTGGCTTGGCATTCGAATGCATTGCGACCCGAAGGAGCCATGCATTCGAAGGCGAAAAAACACATGTTTCACAGACGAGTGCGTTGTCCATCGATCCCAGGTAGTATATCGGCTAGTATCCCCGCCTGTCATTCGGCAGTCCGCGGGAGAGCCCGGTTCGACTCCGGGCCTGGGAGCTTACTTTTTAATTATTTTTTCTTCCTTACTTGGACAAAAAGAACTATGATGACTAAGCGATGGAGTCCCCGGTCCGTCCTATTGACCTATAGATGCGTAGACCAGTCTCGACTCATGGACTGTGGAGTGGCTTGCGGGGGAAGCTCCGAACGGACGGGTCCGGGTAATGACTCATACCTATAGCTGTCACACAGTCAGTTACAGTCCCCCAGAACTTACTTCTCCACGCATCGGTTACTTTTTCACACTCTCGTCACTGGTCCACATCTTCTGTTCCTCCACTATTATTTAATTTATAAAGGGTCGCGAAGCTCCGCTTTGCTCCTCGTTTGCTCCTTCACACAACACTGAAACCCGCAGGACAGGACGGGACAGAACCGAGATGGCGAACGGTATACCACACACAGCAAGCACAACACAACGCAATGCGGTCAACGTGATGGTTGATGGTTACAACGCCCTGCTGGTCGGGACTGGCGGTCGTAGCCGTGGCAAAGTGCGGCGAACCCGTTACTCGTTTGTTCCGCGGGCAGAACTTGATTCTGGAGAGGAGAAAGCGCCTATCGCCGTTTACTCGTACAACTGTCAGGAACATCTTTATAGGGCTGCAACTCCCGCATTCCCCACGCTGGCTCGTGGGTTGTTTGTTGTAGAGAAAGGCGGAGAGGGTTCAAACGACTGGAAGATTGCTGTAAGAGGTTACGACAAGTTTTTCAATGGTGAGTGAGTAGATGCAAACCGTTGGAGGACGATCGGGCGAGCGAAGGGAAGAGCGGAGACCCAGAGTGAAATTCATAAGGTGCTTCATGCGTGTAAATGAATGAGCAAGCGCGGATGCTACGCCAAGCCAGGAAAAGCAATCGCGGAGAACATGCACGCTAAAGTTTGTTTTTTTCCAGTTTCAGAGGTCCCGTCAACAAAATGGGAAAATCTGGCGAGAGACACGATTGGTCCATACGAAGCGACGTTGAAGGAGAACGGGTGTATTATTTTTGCATCGGCATTGGAGGGTGACTTGATTGTAACATCGAAGCACGCCTTGGGACACGGCATAACTCCAAATTACTGGGCTTCCGGAGAGCCAAAGCCATCGCATTCTGCAAAAGGCGAAGAATGGCTTGAAAGACACCTCAAGTCCGTGGGCAAAACGCGATTTGACTTTGCACGGTTTTTGAAGACGAACAACGTGACAGCGGTTTTCGAGGTGAGGTGATGTCCTTTTATACTGCTATGCACTTCTGCTTTTTTCCTAACGAATCGCATCTGGTGTTTCAGCTGGTTGACGATGATTTCGAAGAGCACATTCTAGAGTATTCACCTGAAGCGCGCGGCTTGTATCTCCACGGACTCAATGAAAACATCCCTGAATTCAGAACATGGAGCAGCGCAAAGCTGAAACCAGTGGCTGTCAAATTCGGGCTCAAGATTGTGGACGCTATTGTCTTGAATACCGTCGAAGGTAAACGGCCCGCAGTTCTGATTACAGATTTCGTGGTCAATGCTAAACATCTTGCTATTCAGAGGTTCGCAAGTTCAGCGACTCCTGCCGCGCAACAGGATCCTACAAAGGCAGAGCGATAGAAGGCTTCGTGGTTCGATGTCGGAGAATCGCGGATCTCCACAACGTCTTCTTCTTCAAGATCAAGTACGATGAACCTTATCTAATGTTCCGAGAGTGGCGAGAGATAACCAACAAAGCGCTCACGCAAGTTCAAACCGGGAAACAAATGAAGTACACACCCCGCTTCGAACTAACTCGCAAATACACCGAGTGGGTGATACGTAAAATTGAAGAAGACCCGGAATTTTTCAAAGACTATCGGAACAACAAAGGGGTCATTGCAGCGCGAAATCTGTTTCTAGCCGAGTGCAACATCCCCAATATCGGCAAGCACATTGTAACAGAGTCACTTCGGACAACGCAAGAGTACGCTGATGGTGAACAGTCTGTGGACACGACCGAGGAGGCGGACGAAACAGTGGACGGAGAATGGGTCCTGACCACTACGAAGAAGCAGAAGAAAAAGGAGCGCGCTCGAGAAGTGAAGCGAAGCAAGCACTCCAGCCCCCCCGTAATCGCCTCACGGCATGCTGATCTGGGAAGGAAAAAAACTCTGGTTATCCCTGTCGCGACCATCGGAGCCGGTAAAACGCTCCTCGCTCGCACGATCGCTCATCTGTATCCACAGGTTGGGCACATTCAAAATGACGACATTGTGGTCAAAAAAGCGGCGCCTGTCTTCCAGCGCAAAGTATTAGCAGAGTTCGAAAGCAAGGACATTGTGTTCGCAGACAAGAACAATCATCTCTCGCAACATCGTGCTACAATTGCGAGCGCTTTCAAGGACCTGTATCCGGCTGGCAAGATAGTGGTTCTCGACTGGGAAATCGAAAAAGCGCGCAGAACAATGGGTTTGGATGCGGTGGTCGAGTTGGCAGTAGAGCGGGTTAATATAAGGTACGGGCTGGTCGTAACACCCTTCATTCTGAAAATATGCTAAGAATCGTTTGTCACGCAGGGGAGAGAACCATCAGTCACTTACACCGAACCGAACAGGTGACATTGCCGCCGTCATCCGCAACTTTGTACTCCGCCGAGATCCCGTTGATCCAATCTCCAATCCGAGCGACGCGCTCATAGACTCGGTGGTATCTTTGAGCCTCCTGGACTCGAAAGAGGCTACGCTATACAAAGTCATTGACGCTCTTGACTTGCCACGGCCAACCCAGAAAGAGTACGAGACGGCCGTAGGAAAGTCTCAATCGCATCAGGAGAATATTGTGAAGCAGATGAAGGATATGAGCTTGAGAAGAAAAGTGCGATATTACGGTGTTAGGATCAATCGCGACGTCGACATTGTTGGGTTGCTGGACGGCCTCTTTGCCGGGGCTCCACCACAAACGAGGGAGATCTGGGATACGCTCGTTCTTACGGAGCGAATAGAAGCGCAGCAAAAGGTCGGCTGGCACGTGACCCTCTGCTTTGTCAAAGACGGCGCTGTCGACACAACCCCATACAAGTCTCTCCTCGACAAGTACTTCAAGACAAGTCCATCCGCTGCGGCCAGTGCATCCGATGACAACGGACGCTCGGATCCCGGTATGCCAGTCAAGTTGAGCATCACCGAAGTTGTGTGGGACGCTCAGGTGATGGCCATAGTTGTTGGCAAGATGCCCAATGGCGTATCCAGCATCAACAAGATACCCCACATCACGGTTGCTACCGCTTCCGATGAGATCAAGCCATACACAAGCAATGCGGTGCTTGAACGGGCATTCAGCGGCGCCAACGGTGATGTGCAGCGCCTGGCTTTCCCGAACCCCGTGGAAATCCAGGGTGAGGTCCGCGCCTTCTTTTTTTAGTCGGGCCCTTGATAGATATCCTATTTCGATGTTTCTGATGGAGCATTAGCACGAGCGTAGTGTTGTTTTTAGGTTAGCTAATTCAGCTGTCACTGTTTTCTAATCATTCTCTTTACAAGAGTTGCGCAGCTGGTCACTTTAAATTAATTTATTTGCTCAAACTGTTTTTTTAATCTTTTTTCTACCGTAGCCTATAATGGAGCTTGTCAAACTCCGACAATATGCTAGATGTAGGACGTCTGAATAGGCAAACCAGGAGCGAGTGGAATGAATCAATGGATCGAATGGATGGGTCGAGTGGGCGTGAATGTTGATTGGTTGGGCCCACCGGACCGTGTGCCGTTCTTGGCAGCTCGTCTTGGCTGTTCATCTCTCTTATCGGGGCCCGTTGTGGGCCTTCGGGGATGTGGGAGTGGTTGGTTGTTACGTAATGCTACTGCGTTTTGCGCTTTTGTGTGCCGCGGTTACGCCCTTTTAGGACTGACTAGACCCAACATTGTGACTGAGACTCTCGGTGTTTGTCATTTCTACGTGTTCCCTCCGCTCCCGCTCTGCACCCGCACCGCCCCCGGCCAACTTTGTACTTACTCATCTACTAGTAATTCATCAGTAGTATATATATGTGTTAAACCGTTAAGAGTCCTGCCCCCCGTTGTCCGAGTCATAAAAACCTTTCAATTGCGGCTTTTTTTTTTGTGTGTTGCTTTTTCGTTGCTCTTTTTCGCTGCCGCCCTTTTGTCAAGACGAGATCCGTTGTGCGAAAAAAATTGTCAGCTCTTTGGCGCGTTGATTTCGAAAACTCTAAAAGCCGAACCCAACTCGACACACCGACCGCTCTTCCGCCTGCCGCCTGGTCGCCGACACTGCCAGAGTGGTGTCATTGGAGGTTGAATCAACCGACATACACACAGTGCACGTTGATATGACCTCTGGAACATTCACACAGTATCCTGCCGGATTGTTTGCGCTCTTCACCAACTGGATCGGCGACATGAAAGTCATGGACCCTAATGACTGCCAATTCCCAACGGGATTCTCTTCTCACGACGCAGCATTCCCAACAAACAACACGACTTTACCACACGACACAACTCTCGCCAAGGGCCTATCTTCGCTACAATGCGCATACCATTCACTACCGACTCTTGAAACGTCAGAGCTCTGCATGATTATTCTGCCGGTCGCCTGTTACTGGGTCTATTCAACGCTTCTCTACATTCTCTCTTGGGCGCGACTGACGTCAGTCGAGCTTCACCGGATACCCACGGATCAAAAAATGCGTCCGGCTAATAGAATCACAGTCGCCCATGTGCTGAAGAAAGTAGCGGTTCAGCATTCCATTCAGATCGTCGTGGCTTACGTTCTCGCCGTGGGCACGAGACCTGAAGACATGGCCAGTCGACCAGTGGAACATCCATTGCTGTTTGTTGCAAAGATTGTCGCTGCTTCCGTGATGCTGGACACATATCAGGTATGTGTTTCCTAGTCCCCGACCGCTCCTAGGCGCTTGTCAAACACAGAGTTAACCTTGCTTCTGCAACCCCTGTGTTTTAGTATTGGATGCACCGTTGGATGCATACAAACCGGTTCCTTTACCGCCACTTCCACTCGGTTCATCACGAACTGACAGTGTTGT